ATTGTACTATAAGCAGGGACCTATGGGGGACATTCCTTGATTTCCAGGATGGTTTTCCAATAGAAGCAAAGCAATAATAGCAATAGTACCCAAATGGGCCAGACGTTTTTTTATACTGAAGCAATAATTCCATTTTTACCATCTGAAATTTTAATTTTTTTTATTTTTGATGTTTGGTACAAATAGAACTATATATATTTAGGTCAGACAGAGCTATGTTTAAAACCAAAGAAATCCATGGAACCCTTGCACAAAAAAGTATGGTAAATATTTTAAAAGAAAGAAATCCTTAAGACAAATGTAATTATTAATATTGTTTCATGTTTCCTGTGTAGGTCTGATAGCTAAACTGCATCAAATTGTAATAAGCTCATCACATTCATTTCTGTGAAAATGTGCTCACTGGACTTTTTTTGTTGATTTCATTTATTTCCTGGGAATTGGTAAACATCATGTGCCTGATGATAACAAAGTAGCAAAAACATTTGTACTGAACTGTGCAAGCCTTGGGGACTACAGGGGGGAAAAAAAAGATTAAAACCATTAAAAAGAAACTGCTTTCTAAACTGAGTAAACATTTGCATGATTGAACTGGGACCAGTCATTTTCTAAGCTACATATGGCCATCTTGACAGCATTTGTTCTTTTGTGTGTTTAATTATTATGTGCAAATCATAAAGACAAATAAATTTTACTGTGCCACCCAGCACATTTTCATCTCTGTATCTTTTTTTTAAAAACTCATGACCTGGATTCTATCTTTTCCAGGCAAGGAAGGTATATTAGTCAGGACAGTTAGACTATGCAGTGATAACAACTCTGAACCTTCAGTGGCGTAACGTAACCCCGGTTATTTGTCACTCGTGCGCCCTGCTCCTGTCCTTCACAACCAGGGACCCTGCTGACAGAGCCTCCACCATCTGCAACGTTGGTGGTCACCACAGCAAGGGAAGGAGCCCTGACAAGTCTCACAGCAGCTCCAGCCACAGTCACACGTCGGGTCAGCCATGAGCAGTATTGAGAACTATTCCCATGGCCGCACCTGATTTCGGGGAGCAGGAAAAGGCAACCTTTCCATGCTTGGAGGGGAGAGAAGGCACATGGTGGCAGGTTCATTAATGACTGCCACAGAAGGTATGTCATCTCTGGAAATTTCTATTCCTTTTTAAAATGGCATTTGTGCCCCAGGTAATGCCTGGAGCAACATTTGTCTTTGCTGTGTTGGGTCCTTACAAATAGTAAATTGTGTAATTAGATACAAATTATAAGATTGTTTAAATAGTGGTGAATATTGAGCATTTTACAAAGGTTATGTATGCTACATTTATTTGGGACAGTCAGATGAGTCAATCAGCTCAAACACCCTTTTTTTTCCTTTCTTAATTGGTTTTTTTTTTTTTTCAGTGAAACAGCCTAATACCTCGCCTGATTTGATGGAACCAAATGACTGATTTGCTGTCATCTAAGTAAAACCACCTACAGGAAATGACAAGAAACCTATGAAGATGATTCCTCTCAGTTTGCTAAACTAGAATATTTATACAAACTAATTCAGTGAGATCTGTTAACCATTCTTATTAATAACATAGTCTCAACAAGTGTTCTCCTTTTAATAAGTAATAGCCCATGTTCCAATCATATTGTAATTTTTATGTAAATGGACTTGATATACTGCTGTTATATTTGTCTTTTTAAATATATGGAAACATACATATTTAAGAGAGTTAAGAACAATGGGCATTGCTTAGTTGTAGAACCTTAGGAAGCTGCGGAACATTTGAGGATAATCTGTTTTAAAATATTCCAGTCTTCTCACTCCCTGCTTGCCACCAATCAAAAAAAGGAACTTAAAGTTTTGAAGAACCAAAAGCCATGATAAAAACCTTCAAGTCTAGGTCAGCCTTGATTAATCATTATTCTTAGGAAAGAGTTTTCTAGTTATTTTAGTGAGTTTAAGAAGAAGCCTCTTACTATTTTAGCCTTGGTTGCTGAGAACATTCCAAAAATAGATAAGTGTACTTTCTGTACACCCCCGTCCTTTAATGGATACAGTATTGTAAATGTAATTGAAGCTAGTGAGTCAGAATTTCATCTTGCTGAAAAGCCAACATCATTGTATATGTTGTCCTGTAGATGAGAAAATTTTTTCTTTGATTAAATGAACTTAGATGACTCATTTCTATAGATTTGCAATATACTTAGCTTATTGTAACATAGATAGTTTTATGTTCAAAATATGAGCTAATTTGGCCAGTATAAATTGGACAAAGAAAATGTATTTATTTAGATGAATTTCAAAATAACAATACCTACCGTTTGGGACACTTACTAAGTGTCAAATAGTATGCTAAACAACCTTACACATATTACTTGCATGCTTTTGTATTTCTTTCTTCTGCTTATTTACTGAATCACATGCCCCAAGGTGTAAAATCACTCTCTACTCACTGAAGAATATATACCTTCTCCAGTGGAAATTATATAATATATTAATAAGATGTTTATAACTTAGTCACAGGAAATCTTTTCAAATTACTGACAAGTTAGCATTTAATAGGAATGCTATTTTCATTTCCTATCCTGTACGTTAAAGATTAATGATTAAAATAAATCCTGAAAATATTGATAAGAGCATTCTAAATAGAACCTTTTTTAAAAAAATAATCGGAGTTGCATTACATTAGTTAACATAACTAAATTGTTATTAAATACAGGCATTTAATTAGATATTTCACCAAAATGCAATTTTGGAATACTAGATATTTTTTTTCATTTTGGCCCAAAGCCCAAGAATCTAGGGGGGGGGTCTAATGAGAGAACTACTTTCCTTGCTGTTTGAGCAGTCTGATAAGATCTATACCCAAGGGTGTTTGCACACCTTCGTTGGGTGGTCTGATGCACTGAATAGTGGCTCATCCTCCAAGGAGTCAGCTTCTCCCTGTTGCACATCCACACTGAACATATTCAACCTCAGCCAAGTCTTCCCTGAGTCATAAAAAGACCCCAAGAGAGAAAGCAAATGACCAGCTCAGTTCTTCCACCAGCCTTGGAAAAATAGCTCAAAGTCTATGCTCTCCTCACACTGATCATATCATTAGCACACAAGATCATATCACTGCCACCATTTTTTTCACTTGATTATAAGCTCCTTAAATTAAAATTCTCATTTTCTGGGTCTCCCCAGTTCACAGAATTTTGCCTATTAAGTTTAAGAATGAACTCTACCTCCTGCCATTCATGGCCTACAACATGCCCCAACCGACATGACCTCATCTCACTATACTGCTTTCTTTGAGCCCTTTCTTCCAGCAAACTAAACTGCTTCCAAACTCTAATTACTTGATTTATCTTATCTTACTGGATTGTAAGGCACCTGAAAGCAGAAACTTGGTGTTTATCCATCTTGTTTCCCCACATTGCTTACCAGGATAGTAGATGTAATTGGTAGTAAATAAATTTTCATTGAATACAATTAGCTCAAATAAAAAAATCGTCATCATTAATCATATAAGCTATTCCCTTTCCTTACATCCAGGTAGTCATGGTAACAGCAACAGTAATATCAATTTTGAGCATCTGCCAGGCCGTGAACTTGATATATTATCTCAAACCTTCACAACAAGATGCATGATCTTTTTTCTCAGAAAAGAAAGGATTGGAGAGATTAAATGAGATCACAGAGCTAGTCAGTGCCAGCATGAGCTTTAAACTCCCGACTGTCTGTCTCCAAAATCTTTGCTTTTTCCACTAGACCACAATGCCTAATAAACACAGCAGGTCTGGCTTTAGAATTGTTGGACCGGGTTGCTAAGCCCTCCTGCTGGTCTATCTTAGAAGGAGAAGCTTTCAATTAAAACTTACTTAGGAGAGGGCCATTGTTAGCTGACTTGAACCTTTTCTCCATTTCAGTGGAACCTTTCCGAAATGGCTTTCTACTAGCAGGGGTAGAAAGCGGGTGCATTTACTTAAGTTTCCAAGATGACTTGTCCAAAAAGATTTTTCCCCTCATTAGGGTATATTTGGAGTTCTTGTGCCATAAAAACTATGTTTTTTTATAAACTAAAATGTATCGTTTTCTCTCCCTTACCAAAGTCTGTCTTTGATAATGAGTACTTTAGAGAAACATGAATCAGCAGTGTAAGGTACCTTACCAGAGGCTGAATTACCTGGGTTTAAATCCTAGCTCTTCCCTTTTGTTGCCCTGGGCAAGAATAACCATTCAGCCAGTCTGTTTCCATGTGTTCATCTGTAATAATGCAGCAATTGTGAAAATCAAGTGTTCTAGTACATGCAAAATATTTAGTAAAGTGCCTAGCACATAGATATTAGCTTAAAAAATAAACTTTTAAAACTTTTATGTATTGTTCTTAAAAGAACAAAGAAAAGGGCTCTGTTCTTCACTGATAAACAAGTTTATTGTAACTTCTACTAAAGTGCATTAGAGACTTCTAGAACCCAGATGTGTCCTCCATCAAGGGCCTGGCCTTCTCTCAGGTAGTGATTTGCACTGAGGAAAATCATATTCAATTTTTTAAAGTATTTTCTTTCTTCCTAGAGCAAAATAAGTTGTTAGGTTAAGCTAAACTCTCCCCCAAGTCTTTTAAGACTATCCTTTTCATTTTAGGGATATTACTAAGGCCAACATTCTATGGCCCTACTTGTGAAGAACCATCAGGAAATTTCAAATTTATGTTTCGAAAGTTTTGTTTCACTAAAGCTTTAGCATTCTTGGTCCTTAAAAATATGAATCATGTAATTGACTGGGTTTTCCAATTTGCTTTGGTCCCAGGAAGTTCTAAATCAAATTTATAGAGTTCATACGTTTATAGGATTCTATGATCTGCATACTTCCATTTCCCTGATCTTATATTTATAAAAACTGAAAAGATTTTTTTAAAAGGAAAGGAAAGGAAATACCTGAAGGTATGAGTCCTTCAACTGTACTTAGAAGGATCTGGTTCCTTATCATGTGTTATTTTTATATTTTCTCATAGGGTTCTTGTGGGTGTCAAATACGGTCGTGTGTGACAAGGGGATTTGTTGCTCAGGTCCTGGACATAGAACCCTGCTGGAATCTTTCACCTGTGAGTATTACCACCTGAGGAGAAAGAGATCTGTAGGGTACAAGGCTTCTGGAGACAGAGATATCCCCTGCCCTCCTGTTTGGGAAGAAGCCAACACAGAGAACACCATATGCCCTGGTCCTCACACCCCCTGCCCTCAACAACCTGTTCAAATCACATTTACACAAAAACTGGCTTAGAAGAGCAGGCAAGCTCCATACCTCCAGCCCTGGGTCAGCCAACAGATCAGAATCCCTAAAGAAGCCGCTCTGTCTCAGTATTTTCCCATTTTTATTCTTCTACCTACAAGCCACTTTATATTCTCAATGAGGAGAGAAGGATATGAAGAAAAAAAGAAATAGAGCAAAGAGAAATTAGGGTTTTTTAAGCATAATAGAAATGATGCTTGTAATCAAAAATTACAAAACAGTGTCATACCCTACATTGCACAATTGAAAAACAAGTATTTCATTTTATGAGAAAGCACTAAAAGCTAATGAGCTTTAAAATTTTTCTAGGAGAAAATTCAGTTTCTGCCCATGTTTAAACCAAGCAACTAGTTGTCTTAAATTTTTATAGAATTTTCCAAGGTGAACTATAATTAGTTGAGTGGAAGCTAAATAAAACCTGATACTAAAGCTCTCAGTTTTTAAATATTCTCTTTCTAATGTTCCAGTGTATCCAGGGCACGCTGGATGGGGGCAGTTCTGCAGCTGTGTTTTTTTTTCCCCAGCCTTCCCATTTATTCCATGACAGCTTTCTTTCCTATTTAAAAACAAAATATTATTAGCAAAAATATTCAAATGAGAAGACATAATAGCACTTGGAACCAAAGTCTTTGATGTTAAAAAAAAAAAAACCAAGCACTGAGGAATCTGAAATGTAGAACTGTTTCATTATTAACAAATCAATGTGCAGATGCATGAATTCATTCTCTGTTGACCTTTCGTAGACCATATAGAACTTGATTCTAAAAGCACACCAAGCTGATGACCAGAATCAGTTTCCATGCTTAGAATCTGGTCTTTGAAAATTATGCGTGATATTAATGGACTAATGAACCTGGACCTTAACAAGTTTCAGCAAGGCTTTTCGATTTTGAAGGTAAATTAATTGCTTTAGCAAGTAAGGAATGATTTGGGATATGATTCAGAATTTGAATATGGTGGACAATCACAGAAGTCCAAGTATGTTTTTAAAGTTCTTAAAGCCACATTATTTCAATGTCACACAAATCTAGTGGGTTGCTAGTTTTTTATGCTTGTTCAATGAATTCTGATGTCTTTGCCAGCTCGCCTGACATTTACCCAAAGCAGTGATAGCAAGAATATACAGTATATACAAATACATACAATATTAGTCTAAGGTAACCATTTCTGACTTGGCTGAAAGGAAGAGACACCTTCTAGCAGAAAAGACCTATTCTTACACTGTCCAATTTGAAGCAAATTCATTTCTTTAGTTCTTGAGGTTGTTATAAAAAGACATGAAAGCTTATCTCTTCTGCAGATTGGAATGCCTCAAAGGTCCAAAATGGTAGCCACTAGCACTTGAAATGTGGATAGTTCAAATTGAGATGAACTGTGAGTATAAAAGACACATTGCATTTCGAATGCTTAATGCAAAATAAAATGTAGACTATCTCATTAACAACTTTTAATATTTATTACATATCGAAGTAATATTTTGGATATGTTGGGTTAAAAATATCTTATTTAAATTGATTTCACCTGTTTCTCTTTACTTTCTTTTAAATCATAGCTACAAGAAAACTTAAAATTACATTCGTGGCTCACATTATAAATCTGTTGGACCATGCTGATCTGTAAGATACAAGCTTTCAACTGATGGGTGGATGAAGTGTGATATACCCACACCAGGGAAAATGACTTAGCAATTAAAAGGAATAAAATAATGGACACAGGGGTTTTTTTGAGGAGGTGACAAAAATGTTCTAAAATTGATTGGGGTGATGATTGCATAACTCTGTGAATGTATTAACTAATCAACTGTAAACTTTTTTTAAAAATGAATACATTATATTTAGTAACATTGTAATCATAAAACAAAAGTTTCTGAATTTCAGGGGGTAAAAGATAAAAGCATACTCTGTCGCTCAGAAGAAACCCAGTATTCTTAGTACCTAAATAAGAAGTATCTCTGAGGCCACCATTGGAAAGCACACCATTTTATTCAATTTAATACGGTTTTCATTATCAGTATTCTCAGAGTAAACACAAGGGTGACTTCTGCAGGTCTGTGTGGTGTCAGTGGCATCACACACAATTCAGTAAATACCGACAAGCCAGTAGCTCCCAAATCCCTGCCCTCAATCCAGACTTCTCCTTGAAACCACGTGTGTGCACCTCAAGTTCAGCATGACCAAACACTGTTGCCTCTGTATTTTCTGTCCACTTGGTGCCACATCTACCATCCAGTCCCTGATGCTAGAAACCTGGGAGTCCTTGAATCACCTTTGTCTTTCACCCCATACCACCCCCTGCCCATTCAGGCTCCATCATCTCCTGCCCAGATGATTGCAGCCGCCCCTTCACTGGTCTCTGCCCCAGGTCTGTAGCCCTCAAATCACTCTCCTCCCATCTGCTGACACCATCGATCCGGGATGCAGTGGATTTCCATCACCTGCAGGATAACCTTCATTAAAGTGAACCTGTCCTCTAAGACCAGGGCCCTGCCTCCGGCTCCCTTCTCAGCTCTGAATACTTCACGTGACCTGCATCTGCTGCTGCCCATCCCTCCTGAAGATGAAGTGGCCTGTGTCTACTCCTCCTGTCAGCTCAGCTCAGGGATGCCCCACCATGCACCCAGATAGATCACAATCACTGCATTTCCCAAGCTGTATTATAGTGTCCACTCATTCTTCTGTGTCTCCCACCAACTAAGCTGCTTCGGGGCCGGGACTGTGCCCTTGTTCTCCTCATCTCTAGCACCAGCAAGGCCCAGCATAGTAATGCTTAATATACGATTGTCGAATAAGGGTGAGCCCCAGGTAAAAGCACTGTGATTTAAATTCTGCATCTAAGCAGATGGCTAAGAAATCTTACAAGCCCAGTTTTTAGCTGTTAAATACCCTTGCTTGTCTCCATGAGGACATGGGTTATGTCTGTTTTGCTCATCACTGTGTCTTCAGTGTCATTCATATTTGTTGGATGGGTGGAGGGGAAGATAAATGAATGAACAAAGATGCAGGCAAGAAGTGAACTAAAAACAACCTGCTTTCATGAGACTAGGCCTGATAGTCACAAATTTGTATCTGTGTCATCCCCCGAACCTGAGTCAGATTACTCAGCATCCAACACTTGGGCACCTGGGGAAGCATTGATTTTGCGCTTGAGCAAACAGCTATCCGATTAAATGTGAGAATGCAGGTGACAAATACTGCTGAATTCCCTGCACTCGGCTACACTGTAAGGCCTAAAAGATAGTTTGTACCAGGGGAGACATAAGCTTCTTTATTGTCCTTTTGTAGCAAAAATGGTCGCATCTCTGTAGTTCTAGACACTTTGATTTATACAAAACAGACCGATGCATCATATCTGCTTCACAAAAGTATGGAAAAGGGAACAGTCTTTTTTTTTTTTTTCGGTCCCTATAATCCTGTTGTCAGTGGTACAGAAATCTGTATGGAAAGTAAAAGACGTCTGTGTTTCTCAGAATAGTCTCACAGAGGCTCTCGCCATGGCCTCCCACGTGTAGATCTGGATTTTTTTCCCCAACTCCCCACCATCCATCCATCTCTGCAGGGACCCCGCAGTGGCCTCCCGTCCTCTCCCCTCAGCCCGCTTCCTTCTCTCCCGGCCCAGCAGAGAGGGTTTGATGTTGGACACGGCTGTACCTTCTGGGTCCTGCCCTCCAGGAACCTGGGTACATACTCCCCTCTGACGCCTCTCCTCCGCTGTACGTCCTAGCTCAGATGTCACCTCCTCTCTGGTCTTCACTGTGCCCAACAGCTCCCAGTGAGTGCCCGGCAGACACTCCCCAGAGCTCCCCTTCCCACAGCAGCACGCTCCCCACCAGCCTCGCTAGGCCTCCAGTCAGCGTGCAGGCCGTGTTTTGCTTCTCTAGTCACGAGGAAGATACAGTTAAACGAAGGGCTCAGATTCAGTTTTTGGTTTGTGCTGGAGGATCAGCAGTGAAACAATGTCAAGAGGGCTCCTCCAACCAGGACAAGGTGACCCCTGCCCTCCTGACAGCGGGCACATTCGGTGCCCTCTGCTCCCAAGCCTGGCAGGGTGGGGGGTGTCTGCAGACCCTGCCCCAGGGGAATGCGGTGCCGATGTGTCCATCCACGTCCACATGACACCCCTGCTCACTGGTTCGTGCAGTAGTCATTACCCAATGGGAATGTCTTGCAGCCCTTCCTTGGTTCTGAAGCTCATTCAGAAATGCACATCACAGGGAAGCTGACCCTTCCAATCTTGTTGGTGGCACTGCCTGACCAGCATGTCGCAGGTGTCCAGCCTGGGGGGCTTCGCAGGATGGCCACGCAATGAAACCACTTTACTGAGGCCTCCCCACCCTCAAGCATGCAGCAGTTCAACCCGACTCCCCCGGGACCTGTGATTTCTCCAGCATCACTCCCGGTGGGAGGGCCTAACCCCCCGCGCAGTAGCTGGCCCCTCTGCCCTGGGTTCATTTACTACTCGTCAGCATTTACTTTGTGCCATGCGCCGTGCTGAGCACTGGAGATAAATATCCTCACACCCTGGAGCTTCCAGTTAGTGAGGGGGGTGACAGACAGCACCCCATAAACAAAAATGACAAACACAAGAAGAGCTAAGGAGGAAAAGTACTGGATGCTGTGGGACATAAGGCAGAGACACTGGGTGGGAGAAAAACGTCATTTAAATTGGGGCGAGTGCAGAGAAATCCTCTCTATGGAAGTAGCTCCTGGTGGGAGCCCTGGGTTGCTGCCTCTTTCTCTTAAAGGATAAGGCTGCCCCCCGTCATTTCACTCCCACATTCCCAGACACAAAGAGGCACAAACACACCCACAGACATATACACACACACACACAAACAGATTTACACAGAGACATGCACACAAAGACCAACATACACAGATCCTGAGACCCACGTCTGTACACACACATACACAGACACATACGCACATGTACACCTCTCTGTGCTGCTGACAGGCCATCTGAGGTCCCTTTTCACCCGATGGTGCATGTGAAAGTTTGGGGCACTGAGGACACACAGAGAAGTTCCCATTGCACTCAGCACAGGGCATGGCTAGTGGCGCGGCACCAAGCTCAGTGATGGCTCATGGTTGACTTCATTCTGCCTCTCGTTCCCCTCCTAGCATTGTTTGCTGAGGCCAGCTCCGCTGTCTCTCTGAACATGTGACATCTGCATATTCCAGTTTCCAGGTGTCAGGCTCATCCCTGAGATATGAGCACAAATGAGTCCCTGAACCTGAGGACTGGAGCATCCTGCTGGTTCTACAGCTGTGACACCAATTTACATATTCCTGCTGGCAGCATGGGGAGAGGGGAGCTCAGGCAGAGGTGAAGTCAGTGGGATTTGGGTTTGACTGGAATTTATTTTTTTATCTTTTTAACTTGAGAGACTTTTAAAAAAATCAGTGAGCTCATGCAGATTACATTGTAATCGATCACCTCTCGGCTCGCAGGTGCCAGGGCACAGTGAAGGGCAGAGTGGAAGAGGGTGGCTTCGCCTGCTGTAGGTTAGAGCCCAGAATGACTTGCGGGGGTCCCCGGACCCCAGCCCCGGAGAGGCGTAAAGAAAGCTGGCTGGCTTCGCATCCGCACAGTGTGGAAAAGCCCGGGACACCCTCGGTGTTATGTGTGGTGGTTTCCCTCCTCTCCTCCCATATGCTCCACAGAAAGAAATGCCAGCTTCCACCCCGTGACGGCGGTCTTTGTAGTAACTGACCCTGAACGCAGTGGGTTACAATTCAGCCAGCCGCCCCCAGTAGTCAGCCCCGGCAGACCCACAAAATTTGCCAGAAAAATCGATCCGAAGCTGACAGATCAAAAGTGAGTCATGCCAGCTCTCCTCTTAGGAAATGGTTAGATGGATGTCTGACTGATAACACCTCAGTTCTTTTCATAGTAGGTCTGAAAATAGCTCAGAAGTCTTTAAATGTCTGGCGATGTAGGCGACGGAAAGAGTTCGAACCCCAGTTCTGTTTCTACCGTATTCACCCCGTCTGCCTTCCTCATAGCACATCCCTGCACGTCCAGGGGTGGCTCTGTGCTGGGCAGACCCACAGCCTCTTTAGGAGACCTTTAGTCTAGGCCTCAGGACTGGCCATCCCTGGACAGGTGAACCTGGTCATCTAACACTCAGTCCCTTCATGCAGTCAACTTTGGTGTCCCTATCGCCTGCCCCTGGTTGCCCCATTGAAAGGCAGTTCCTTCCTAAATGGGCCCTTTTCTCTGTCTTAGAGCCTTAATGGGCCAGTGCAGATCTTCCACCTCCACAGCTGTGATCTTTTATGTCTGTGGCGCTTACTTTGAACATAAGCAACAGCAGTAGCCAAAGGAGTCACCAGTAGGTCTAAGACACAGGAAGAGGAAAGATGAGCCTGGCAGGGGGGTTGCAGAAAAGGATGGATGGGAGGGGGAGAGCCTGGGCATGAGTCTGTTGGAAGTTAACAAAACAAG